ACAAAATCACTTTTTTTTTAGTGATGGTCACTCCTTTGGTTAGTAGGTGTCTTGTGTCCAAATTTGGTGTCAGTTCGTCCAATGGTTTTTGAGTTCTGTTAATCCCACAAACGAACATTACATTTTTATTTATATAGATACTAGCCGTCCCCTACCATGTGTTGCTGTGGCCCACATGGGGGGTTCTGTGTGGGAGGTTTAGCCCAATTCTATCCTTGGTGGGGTTCAGAATGCTCTGTGATTGTAGGCAAACTATAAATCCCAGTAATTACAACTCCCAAATGTCAAGATTCTATTTTCCCCAAACTCCACCAGTGTTCACATTTGGGAATATTGAGTATTCTGGTAGAGTTTGGTCCAGATCCATCATTGTTTGAGTCCACAATGTCCTCTGAGAACACAGAAATGCTAGACCACTCTCACAACCACCATGTCAGACTACACAGAGAAGCCATTGAAATACACAAGCATGTGGACAATTTCAACAGAAAGGAGGAAACCATGAAAATGAACAAAATCTGGCTACCAGTATTAAAAAACTCTAAAATTACAACAGCACAACAACAGAGAGGAAACAAACAAGGGCATCTAATCACCTCTCAACAAAAGTTTGCTCCAGGCACTGCCAGGCCATCAAATGCTAATCAAGGTGGTCAGTTAAAACATTCACACCTAGCTCCAGTAGACAAGAGTCCTTTGTCCCACCCTGGTCTTTCCACAGATATAAAAATCCTTTTTCCTAGTTTCAACAGACCTCACTACCTCTGAGGATGCTTGCCATAGATGCAGGCAAAACGTCAGGAGAGAATGCCTCTAGACCATGGCCATATAGCCTGAAAAAACCTACAACAACCCAATGCTAGCAAGTCTGCTTACTAGTGAATGCCAAAAATGTCTCCACTCTAGTTGCTAAATGTGTATCTCCCCACTCGTAGGCATCTACACTGTCGAATTAGTGCAGTTTTGACACCGCTTTGATGGCTATGGCCGAATGCAGTGAAATCCCAGAATTCCCAGTCCTAGGATTCCATAGCATTGAGCCGTTGCCGTTAAAAGTCGTGTCAAAATGCCTTCGTTTGACAGTGTAGATGGCACTTTTGGCCGTGCTGTTCCCGCTCTCGACCTCTTTTCAGCAAACCAGTCCCCCGCCAGCCTAGAAATCAAAATCCGCTGCTGGATTATATCACCTTTTCCCAAGTGCACATCTCTGCCCTCTGCTGCCCATCTGTGGCATTTAAAAAAGCAGGTCTAAAAAGTCAAGCATTACATGAAAATGGGAGCAAAAAGAGAGAGAGAAAGCTGCAGGAGAAATACAATAACGGAAATGCCGCTTGCAAAACCAAGGCGCTATTTACTACGAGAAGGGCAGCAACAAATGTGGAAAATGCAAGTGTTAATATGGGTTTAATACTGAAGAATACTTCGTATATTGCTTTCCAACTGTAGCTATGGAGTCTAAACCAGTGTATCTCAAACTATAACCTGCGCATAAAACAATGCATCACAATCTATAGTTTTTATTGCAACCTGCGTCTAAAGCAGTGCATCTCAAACTGTAACCTGTGTATAAAACAATGCATCACAATCTACAGTTTGGGCCAATTCTATCATTGGTGGGGGTCAGAATGCTCTTTGATTGTAGGTGAACTATACATCCCAGCAACTATAACTCCCAAATGGCAAGGTCTATTTCCCCCAAACTCCACCAATGTTCACCTTTGGGCATATTGAGTATCCATGCCAAGCTTGGTCCAGATCCATCATTGTTTGAGTCCGCAGTTCTCTTTGCATGTAGGTAAACTACAACTCCCAAACTCAACGTCAGTGCCCACCAAACCCTTCCAGTATTTTCTATTGGCCATGGGAATTGTGTGTGCCAAGTTTGGTTCAATTCCATCATTGGTGGAGTTCAGAATGCTTTTTGATTGGAGATGAACTATAAATCCCAGCAACTACAACTCCCAAATGTCAAGGTCTATTTTCCCCAAACATCACCAGTATTCACATTTGGGCATATTGAGTACTTGTGCCAAGTTTGGTCTAGATCTTTCATTGTTTGAGTCTGCAATGCTCTCTGGATGTAGGTGAACTACAACTCCCAAACACAATGTCAGTGCCCACCAAACCCTTCCAGTATTTTCTGTTGGTCATGGGAGTTCTGTGTGCCAAGTTTGGTTCAATTCCATCATTGATGGGGTTCTGAATGCTCTTTGATTGTAAATGAACGATAAATCCCAGCAACTACAACTCCCAAATATCAAGATCTATTTTCCCCAAACTCCACTAGTGTTCACATTTGGCCATATTGAGGATTTGTGCCAAGTTTGGTCCAGATCTATCATTGTTTAAGTACACAGTACTCTCTGGATGTAGGTTTGCCAAGTTTGGTTCAATTCAATCGCTGGTGGAATTTAGAATGCTCTTTGATTATAGGTGAACTATAAATCCCAGCAATTACAACTCCAAAACTCAAGGTCAGTGCCCACCAAACCATTCCAGTGTTTTCTGTCAGTCATCCCAGTTCCATGTGCCAAGTTTGGTTCAATTCCATCCTTGGTGGAGTTCAGAATGCACTTTGATTGGAGGTGAACTATAAATCCCAGCAACTACAACTCCAAAACTCAAGGTCATTGGCGACCAAACCCTTCCAGTGTTTTCTGTCGGTCATCCCAGTTCCGGGGGCCAAGTTTGGTTCAATTCCATCCTTGATGGAGTTCAGAATGCTCTTTGGTTGTAGGTGAACTATAAATCCCAGCAACTACAACTCCAAAACTCAAGGTAGTGGCCACCAAACCCTTCCAGTGTTTTCTGTCGGTCATCCCAGTTCCGGGGGCCAAGTTTGGTTCAATTCCATCCTTGGTGGAGTTCAGAATGCTCTTTGATTGGAGGTGAACTATAAAACCCAGCAACTACAACTCCAAAACTCAAGGCCAATGGCCACCAAACCCTTCCAGTGTTTTCTGTCGGTCATCCCAGTTCCAGGTGCCAAGTTTGGTTCATTTCCATCCTTGGTGGAGTTCAGAATGCTCTTTGATTGAGGTGAACTATAAATCCCAGCAACTACAACTCCAAACCTCAAGGTCATTGGCCACCAAACCCTTCCAGTGTTTTCTATTGGTCATCTCAGTTTGGTGTGCCAAGTTTGGTTCATTTCCATCCTTGGTGGAGTTTAGAATGCTCTTTGATTGGAGGTGAACTATAAATCCCAGCAACTACAACTCCAAAACTCAAGGCCAATGGCCACCAAACCCTTCCAGTGTTTTCTGTCGGTCATCCCAGTTCCAGGTGCCAAGTTTGGTTCAATTCCATCCTTGGTGGAGTTCAGAATGCTCCTTGATTGGAGGTGAACTATTTGCATCTTATTAAAGGACACAAATTATCTATGCTTTTAATATTCTTGTTATAGTTTTATGTTATGTGTTAATATTTTTAAATGTTTTGTGGTGTTTTTTTGGCATCGAATCGTTGCCATTGTAAACCGCCCTGAGTCACCTGAGGGCTGAGAAGGGCGGTATACGAATACAGTAAATAAATATATAATAAATCCCAGGAATTAGAAGTCCCAAATGACAAAATCAATCCCCCTCCCAACCCCACAAGTATTCAAATTTGGGCGTATTGGTCATTTGTGCCAAATTTCGTCCAGTGAATGAAAATCCGTCTTGCATATTAAATCTTTTCAGTGCAATTCATAACAGTAGGAACATGACAGTTATGAAGGATCAACTAAAATAATGTTATGTTTGGGGGTCACCACAACGTGAGGAACAGGTTAAGGCAGTGGTTCTCAACCTTCCTAATGCCGCGACCCCTTAGTACAGTTCCTCATGTTGTGGTGACCCCCAGCCATAACCATAACATTATGAATCGCCATGTAAATAATGATCTGCAGGATGTATTTTCATTCACTGGAGCAAATTTGGCACAAATACCTGGTATGACCAAATTTGAATACTGGTGGGGTTGGCGGGGGGATTGATTTTGTCATTTGGGCATTGTAGTTGCTGGGATTTATAGTTAACATGTAAACAAAGAGCATTCTGAACCCCACCAACAATGGAATTGAACCCAAGTTGGTACAGAGAACTCCCATGATCAACAGAAAATACTGGAAGGGTTTGGTGGGCATTGACCTTGAGTTTGGGAGTTGTAGTTCGCCTACATCCAGAGAGCACTGTGGGCTCAAACAATGATGCATCTGGACCAAACATGGCACAAATACTCAATATGCCCAAATGTGAACACTGATGGGGTTTGGGGGAAATAGACTTTGACATTTGGGAGTTGTAGATACTGGGATTTATAGTTCACCTACAATCAAGGAACGTTCTGAACCCCACCAATGATAGAATTGGGCCAAACTTCCCACACAGAATCTCCATGACCAACAGAAAGTACTCTGTTTTCTGATGGTCTTTGGCGACCCCTCTGACACCCCTTCGCGACCCCCTCAGGGGTCCCGACCCCCAGGTTGAGAAACACTGGGTTAAGGGGTCGTGACCAAGAGTGCCCCTGGGGGATTTTGCGCTATACACAAATGCGTGATTGGCGTAATGGTTCAGCCGCCCCTGTGCATGCGCACACCTTCCCGTCTCGTGTGCGGGCCGAATAGCTCCATAACTTGTTTGGAAGGGCCCCAGAAGCAACTTGCTTTTTCTCAAGTCGCTCCTGAAATGATAAAACAAGCAAACAAACAAAATGGATGGCCTAAAGTGACTTCCAACCAGTCTAAAGTGACTTCCAATTCCATCCTTCGTGGAGTTCAGAATGCTCTTTGATTGAATGCTCAAGAGCACCCCTGGGGGATTTTGCGCTATAGGCAAATGCGTAATTGGCAAAATGGTTCAGCCGCCCCTGGTTGCGACATTAGGAAGGTTGACACACACTGTGTTAAGACTTCTTCTCCGCTGTCCTGTTTCTGTCCTCTGATCTGTCTACTTTCCCCCACCTTCCCATCCCTCTCTCCTCTCTTCCTCCCCTTCTTTTCTCTCGTTCTTCAGATCTAACTGGCTCAAACCGTGTTGCGGGAGGCGAGCGGCTGTCTGGCAAGTCTTCTTGCTCAGCGCGAGCCTCAACAGTTTCCTGGTAGCCTGTGTTGTGTTGGTGGTGATCCTTCTGACTCTGGAGCTCCTCATAGATATCAAGCTTCTCCAGTGTGAGTAGCAGGCTCTCCTTCTTCTTCTCTTCTGGAAACTTTTGACCAAAAGACTTGATTCACCTCCCTTGTGCATCACGAGTGGGTAGACTGGGTTTACTTTAGAAAGAGAAGATGGGATTCACGATCTGCAAATATGATGAACCTCTGGAGTGCTGATGCTACTTTCAGACTGGTTCCGATACACCAAGCACGGGCAAACTTATGTTCCCGCTTGGTCTTAGTCTGAAGCCATGCCTCCAAATTATGTCAATTGGCTTAAATATTTGGAGTAATTTATATCCCGTCAAGTTACGCTTCCGTTCTGTCTACTCCAACTAGGACAACGTCATTATATATGTCGACGACTTCATTGTAAATGTAGACAACCCCATTGGATTTTTTCCGGATATACTTTTATTAATATTGTTATGAATATTTCTGTGAATGTTTTCATGAATATCTTTCTGAATATTGGTACGAATCTTTCTGGAAGTATAGTTGTGAATATTTTGATAAATATACTTTGGTGAATTTTTTATGAATATTTTTTACAAATATTCCCCTGACTATTTCTGCAATGAGTTCTACAAATATATTTTATTAATATTTTTCTGAATATTTCTGCAAATATTTTTGTGCATATATTTTTGCAAATATTTTTATGGATTATATGAGTCTACACTGCAATATAATCCAGTTCAAAGCAGATAATCTGGGTTTTATATGGGGTCTACTGCTTAGGGTGCTTCCTGACAGCACTAAATCATGGGTTTTAAACAGGGGAAAAAAATCCCAGGACTTCAGAAGAGGTCGATATACAGACTTGTTTGTCCCAGGATTTCTGCCTCCACTGTCCAGACTTGATGCTTTGTTGCGAGATTTAGAGGATCCCAAGATTACCACCGTGGGACTTCCGCCGGAAACTTCACCGGGTTTTTTTTTAATGCAGATATGCGGAGAATCACTGCATCGAATCACTGCAAAAGATTTGTTCTTTGCCCTGGCCATAAAGTTTACGGGGTAGGACCACTTTTGCCTAAATCAGCTCTGCACAATCAAACAGGAAAGCACACTTCCAAACCAGGAACAGAATGTTGTCATTACTGACATTTTTTAGAGCCTGGCTGCCTGGCCACCTCTCCAGACAGATTTGGTTGTGTACTTGTGGCATCAAACAACAGATTGTTGTTCCTGGGTTATACATGGCTGTTCCTGATTGCTCTTCTTGTGAAAAGACGCACAATGTAATGGATTGGCCTACCTTTCAGGGTTGGTGTAAAGGCCGGAAACAGGCCTGCTCTCCTGGGAACTGGGAGCACTGGGATTGTGGCGCAGCTGGCTGAGTGTCAGCTGCATTAAGATTACTCTGACCAAAAGGTCATGAGTTCGAAGCTAGCCCGGGGTGGAGTGGGTTTCCAACCAATTGTGTGTAGCCTGTTGTCGACCTTTGCAACCCGAAAGACAGTTGCATCTGTCAAGTAGAAAATAAGGTACCACCTTAAAGTGTGGGGAGGCTAAATTAACTGATTTATGAGGCCATAAAAAAGACTCCAGCAAAAGGATGCGGGGAATGCGGAAGTACTTCATCAGTGTCGCAGATGGACGATGAAAGCGACAGCTCCCCTGGCGGCCAGAAAAAGTTAAATAGCCTCTGTGTATGTCTGTATATGTTGTATGTCAAAAATTGGCATTGAATGTTTGCCATATATGTGTACACTGTAATCCGCCCTGAGTCCCCTGCGGGGTGAGAAGGGCAGAATATAAAAGCTGTAAATAAATAAAATAAATAAATTTGTTAGAAAGATACCTCTTTGAGGAAAATAGTTAAAAAGCCTCCAGGGAGAAGGAGTGAGGAAAATACATAGTAGGCCTCTATAGTGTTTAGAGTGCTGGTGTGGAAAGAGGGTTCAAAAGGTTCAAAAATAACCTGTTTGCATTCCTGTCCTTTTTAAGAAACTCAAGTTATAAGACCATTCTCTATACAAGTAAAGCCTGTCAGTTTATTGAAACCATTACTGATTTTTACTGTTCAAGAACAAAATAAACAACATATTCTTGTTTTATTTCACCTGAGGAGTTTGTGTGACTTCCTGAACATTCTAGTGAGGGAGGTGGCCTTTGAATCAATAAATGGTGGCAGCAAAAGAGACCTTGATAAATATTTGGTGGCAGCAAAGGAATATTTAATGTATTGTGGTGGCATTCCACTGTCCTGCCTTGTGTATGAGGGTGTGTGGGTCCCCCGCGGCCTGTCGTTCTTTCATTGCATACGGCATTGATGAGGGGTCACAACTTGGTCGTGGCCAGAGAAAATGTGCCCGCCACACGTTTCATGAAGATACTACCTGGATGAGCCCTTAAGCAGAGTGCATATAAATGTGAGATAGAGAGAGCTGTAATTTATTTGCTTGGAAAATGAACTCATTCCCCGCTGTATTGTGTTTCATTCATTGCAGTTTCAAGCGCCTCCCAGTTTGCTGGAGTCATTCACTGGATCAGCCTAGTCATCCTCTCTGTGTTCTTTTCAGAGGTAAATGAAATACATTATTGTTATTATTATTATTATTATTATTATTATTATTATTATTTGAAACACAACAAGATGGGTCCACATCAGACACTCTGATGGCTGTTGTACTGGATCACACGTAGGACACTTCCCAAGTGCCTAGGACTGTGTGATGTAATTATTATTATTATTATTATTATTATTATTATTATTATTATTATTTGAAACACAACAAGATGAGTCCACAGCAGACACTTTGCTGACTGTTGTATTGGATCACACGTTGGACCCTTCCCAAGTGTCTAGGACTGTGTGATGTATCAGCAAATAATGTGTGCAAATCCCAGTAACGTGGCCTTCTGCAGCTGGCAGGTGGTAATTTTGTCAGCACCGATTGTGTTTAAGTGCAGACCAAGGTCTTTAGGCACTGCACCCAGTGTGCCAATCACCACTGGGACCTTCTTTACTGGCTTGTGCCAGAATCTTTGCAGTTCGATTTTTAAATCCTCATATTGTGCCAGCTTTTCCCATTATTATTATTATTATTATTATTATTATTATTATTATTATTATTATTATTATTTTCCTAGAGAAACCTGAAGAGAATGCAGAACCTTGAGGTGCATCTGCACTGTAGAAAGAATGTATTATTATTATTATTATTATTATTATTATTATTATTATTATTATTGGAAGCACAACAAGATGAGTGCACAGCAAACAAGATCACTCTGTTAGCTGTTGTATTGGATCACAGGTTGGACACTTCCTAAGTGTCTAGGACTGTGTGATGTATCGGCGAATAATGCATGCAGACCCCAGTAAGGTGCCCTTTGGCAGCTGACAGATGGTAACTTTATCAGCGCCAATTGTTTTTAAGTGCAGGCCAAGGTCTGCACTTCAGTGTGCCAATCACCACTGGGACCACCTTTACTGGCTTGTGCCAGAGTCTTTGCAGTTCAATCTTTAAGTCCTCATATAGTCTCAGCTTTTCAATTATTATTATTATTATTATTATTATTATTACTATTATTATTATTTGAAACACAACAAGATGAGTCCACAGCAGACGCTTTGCTGACTGTTGTATTGGATCACACATCGGACCCTTCCCAAGTGTCTAGGACTGTGCGCTGTATCAGCAAATAATGCATGCAGATGCCAGTAGGGTGGCCTTTTGCAGCTGGCTGATGGTAATCTTGTCAGCGCCGATTGTGTTTAAGTGCAGGCCAAGGTCGTGAGGCACTGCACCAAGTGTGCCCATCACCACTGGGACCCCCTTGGCTGGCTTGTGCCAGAATCTTTGCAGTTTCATAGAATCATAGAATCATAGAGTTAGAAGAGACCTCGTGGGCCATCCAGTCCAACCCTCTGCCAAAAAGTAGGAATATTGTATTCAAAGCACCCCTGACAGATGGCCATCCAGCCTCTGTTTAAAATCTTCCAAAGAAGGAGCCTCCACCACACTCTGGGGCAGAGAGTTCCACTGCTGAACGGCTCTCACAGTCAGGAAGTTCTTCCTCATGTTCAGATGGAATCTCCTGAAGTTTGATCTTTTCCAATTTATTATTATTATTTTACTGATACAAAAAAAAAACAGTATGTCACAGCAAACGAGATCTATATACTGGATTTCGTATCACAAAATCACAAGATGAACACTTCCCAAGCGTCTAGGACTGTGTGATGTATTTTCGAATGATGCATGCAGTCGCCATTAGGCTGAGAATTGCGGTATATAAGCGAAGTAATAATAAATAAATAAATAAATAAATCGAATTATTATTATTATTATTATTATTATTATTATTATTATTATTGGGCAAAAGGGGGGTAAAATAAATATTATTACTGTTATTGTTATGATTGAGATGTTTGCTTGCAAAAGCTTCCAGAGGCAGTAGTGTTGTGACACTGAACTGCACTATTAATGCTGCTGCTGCTGCTGCTGTTGTTGTTGTTATGAGCGTCTATGGGGAATGCGTGATGATTCTCCCTCCGCCTTTCCTCCCTCTCGCATCTCTTTTTTTTTCTTAGACTATTTTGAGAATCGTTGTTCTGGGTATTTGGGACTACATTGAAAACAAAATAGAGGTAAGTTGAGCAAGAGGAAACATACCCGCCTTCTGACTGGAGGACTGGTTCAGAGGTTTGCATTCTGAGAGCAATGCGCCCTGTCCTTGTCTCGTCAGGTATTTGATGGTGCTGTGATCATCTTATCCTTGGCTCCGATGGTGGCCTCGACGGTGGCCAACGGGCCCAGCAGCCCATGGGATGCCATCAGTCTGATCATCACGCTCAGAATTTGGAGAGTCAAGAGAATTATCGACGGTAAGCCAGCACTCCCTTTTAGCCATTGTGTATTTTGGACTGCACTTCCCATCATCCCCAACCAGCATAGCTATCATCCAGGCACGATGGAGATTGCAGTCCATGTGGGTTGGGAACTTAGACCAAAGCATGGCGGAGTAATAACAACACTTTATTTATATTCCACCCCATATTCTCCCCAAGGGGACACAGGGCATGTCACAGTACACATACATGGCAAACATGTGTACAGACAGGACAGAGACAGGACAGACAGGAGGGATGTTGTGTTGACGTCCGGCTTTTTGGCACCTTGGAGGTTGTGCTCGAATCCAACCACAGGGGGTGCTGTCGCTCTATCCTCTATGATGAAGAGCCATCAGGACTTCCTCCTTCCTTTGGTCATCGGGCATTTTCTGATATTTTTCTTTATGGTGTCGTAAAATACCTCCCCCAGTTGTTTTAGTGGTACCTAATTTATCTTCTTACAGCTCTAAGCTGTTTTTGAACTGCTTAGGTAAACAGTGAGCTGGGCTGACAGTCGGGTGCTCATGTCAACTTGGGCTTCAAACTGGGAACAATTCGGTTGGTAGATCTTATTGCTTGCTGGTGGTGATTTACCAGCTGTGCTATTGCCCGGCCCTTTATATATAATATATAATTAATAATAATAATAATAATAACAATAATAACAATAATAACAATAATAATAATACAATAATAATAATAATAATAATAATAATAATAATAATAATAATAATATACCTCTAGAACATGGCCATATAGCCCGGAAAAACCTACAACAACCCAATAGTACATTTGTTTAATAGTTTTATTGGTTCTAATCATATCATATTTCCATGTTTAATTTTTTTATTTTTGTTGTATATTTGTTTTTATATTGTGTTTTACTGTATTGATGAGCATGGCCTTATGTAAGCCGCCCCGAGTCCCCTTGGGGGAGATGGAAGCAGGGTATAAATAAAGTTATTATTATTATTATTATTATTATTATTATTATTATTATTATTATTATAGTTTAACATTTATATGTGTGAGGTTTTAATGCGCACATCGTTATGCTTTGAGACCCCATTGACAGATAAAAAACAGGATATTATTATTTATATTAATAATAATATCTATATAAATAAAAAGTCATGTTCGTTTGTGGGATTAACATAACTCAAAAAACACTGGCTGAATTGACATCAAATTTGGACACAAGACACCTATCAGGCCAACGAGTGACCATCACTCATAAAAACACAGCAAAAGGGACTTAAAAGGCCAAAAAACAAGAAATACATGACAACGCATGCGCAAAACATGCAAACACACATATATACACATATACACAAATATATACACACACAAAATACATATACACAAACTAGGCCACAGCAAGGTGTGGCAGGGGACAGCTAGTATATAATAATAACATATCATAATTATTATAATACATAAATAACATAGCTGTTTGAAAACATGCAAATGTGAGTAGATCAATAGGTACGGCGCTCCATGTAGCCATGCCGGCCACATGACCTTAGAAATGGAGATAAGCATCACCCTCTAAAGTACTATTACCTTCTCGCCAGAGTGGTACCTATTGATCTCACAATTGCATGTCTTTGAACTGCTAGGTTGGCAGAAGCTGGTGCTAACACTGGGAGCTCACCCTACTCCCCAAATTAGAACTGCCGACCTTTCAGTCAGCAAGTTCAGCAGCTCAGCAGTTTAACGCACCTGGGGCACCATATAATATAATATACAATATAATAATAATAATAATAATAATAATAATAATAATAATAATAATAATAATAATAATGCCTCTGATATCCTAGGCCTTTGGGAAGAGCCCGATATTCACACTTGGACCTAATGTCAGCAAGTTCAGCTGCTCAGCGGTTTAACCCACTGTGCCAGCTGGGGCACCATATAATATAATATACAAAATAATAATAATAATAATAATTATTATTATATCTCTAATATCCTAGGTCTTTGGGAAGAGCCCGATATTCAGACACTTGGACCTAATGTCAGCAAGTTCAGCAGCTCAACGGTTTAACCCACTGTGCCACCTGGGGCACCATATAATATAATATACAATATAATAATAATAATAATAATAATAATAATAATAATAATAATATCGCTAATATCCTAGGCCTTTGGGAAGAGTCCGATATTCTGACACTTGGACCTAATGTCAGCAAGTTCAGCAGCTCAGCGGTTTAACCCACTGTGCCACCTGGGGCACCATATAATATAATATACAATATAATAATAATAATAATAATAATAATAACTCTAATATCCTAGGCCTTTGGGAAGAGTCCGATATTCAGACACTTAGACCTAATGTCAGCAAGTTCAGCAGCTCAGCAGTTTAACCCACTGTGCCACCTGGGGCACCATATAATATAATATACAATATAATAATAATAATAATAATAATAATAATGATAATGATAATAATAATAATATCCTAGGCCTTCGGGAAGAGCCCGATATTCAGACACTTGGATCTAATGTCAGCAAGTTCAGCAGCTCAGCGGTTTAACCCACTGTGCCACCTGGGGCTCGATATAATATAATATACAATATAATAATAATAATAATAATAATAATAATAATAATAACTCTAATATCCTATGCCTTCAGGAAGAGCCCGATATTCAGACACTTGGACCTAATGTCAGCAAGTTCAGCAGCACCATATAATATAAGATAAGATAAGATAATATACAATATAATAATAATAATAATAATAATAATAATAATAATAATAATACCTCTAATTTCCTAGGCCTTTGGGAAGAGCCCGATATTCAGACACTTGGACCTAATGTGCATGTGTGCGGTGATGTTATGTACATGGAATAAATAACAACAACAACAATCTAATTTGAAGATTCCCCCCTTTTTAAAGAATTACTTTATAAAACCTGGTTTGGAATGAGTCTACATTGCCATATAATCCAGTTCAGAGCAGATCATCTGGTTTTTTAAATATATTTATATTTATTTATTATTTTTATATTTATTATTATTTATATTTATTTATAGAAAGGGCCTGAGAGTTGCTGTCCCAAAACAAACCCCAGCTGTTCTAAATTCTTCTGATGAGATTCATGTGGTTTGTATTAGGTTCACCTGCTTAGTTTGCCTTGGCCATCTTGGAAAGGCAACCTGGTTGTGTTTTCTCTCCTGCGAGACAACTTATTTCCGGCAACCTGTTGTGCTTTTCAGCGTACGTTTTGCCTGTTAAAGTGGAGATGGAGATGGTGATTCAACAGTACGAGAAGGCCAAGGTCATTCAAGACGAACAGCTGGAAAGACTGACCCAGATCTGCCAAGAACAGGGGGTAAGGCACCGCTCGCTCGTGGGCTCTCCTCCTTCTCTTTTCTTCTCTTCTCTTTTCTTCTCTTCTTTCCTTTGAATTGCATAACAAACACATTCCAAAAAAATGCTTCTACCAATCAGGCCTGGGCAAACTTGGGCCCTCCCTCCTCCTGTTGTTGTTGTTATTATTATTATTATTTTATTTCAGTAGATATTCGCCTAGTCCCGGTAGGCTATTAGAAATTGTGGGAGTTGAAGTCCAAAACACCACCTTGGCTTGGCTGCATTTTTGCTCATTGGTCGTAAGATGGCAGCAGAGCCCCTCCTGTCCACCTCAAACCTTGTTATTTCTTTTCCCATTTCTGCAAAACCTCTTCTGTAGTCTTCATACTTTTGCATGTTGAGATATGGGAGACCTTGCATCATGCTTGCTTGCATTAAATACAGTTCCCCAAATCTCCAATAGTGAAGGTAAAGGTTTTCCCCTTGACATTAAGTCATGTTCAACTCTCTGGGTTGGTGCTTATCTCCATTTCTAAGCCGAAGAGCTGGTGTTGCCCATAGACACCTCCAAAGTCATGTGGCCAGCATGACTGCATGGAGCGCCATTAGAATCATAGAATCAAAGAGTTGGAAGAGACCTCATGGGCCATCCAGTCCAACCCCATTCTGCCAAGAAGCAGGAATATTGCATTCAAATCACCCCTGACAGATGGCCATCCAGCCTCTGTTTAAAAGCTTCCAAAGAAGGAGCCTCCACCACACTCCGGGGCAGAGAGTTCCACTGCTGAACGGCTCTCACAGTCAGGAAGTTCTTCCTCATGTTCAGATGGCATCTCCTCTCTTGTAGTTTGAAGGCATTGTTCTGCGTCCTAGTCTCCAGGGAAGCAGAAAACAAGCTTGCTCCCTCCTCCCTGTGGCTTCCTCTCACTATGCTAATAATATAATATAACACCTCCCAACAAATGATCCCCCACAGGCAGCAACTACATGACAGGACTGGACATTGTTTTAATGAGTATCTTTTGAATTATGTTTTATTATAGTGTTATGATTTTATTGTTGTTGACGTTTTATATTGTATATTGTAAATTGTATTTTTGGTGGCATTGAATTTTGCCTTGTAAACTGCCTTGAGTCGCTGGAAGGCTGAGAGGGGTGGTATACAAATATACTAAATAAATAGGTTGTTATAGGTTTTTCCGGGTTATATGGCCATGTTCCAGAGGCATTTTCTCCTGACTTTTCGCCTTCATCTATGACAAAGGAAAAAGGGTTTATATATCTGTGGAATGACCAGGGTGCGACAAAGGACTCTTGTCTGCTGGAGCTAGATGTGAATGTTTCAACTGACCACCTTAATTCACACCTAGCTCCAACAGACAAGAGTCCTTTGTCCCACCCTGGTCATTCCACAGATATATAAACCCATTTTCCTACTTCCAACAGACTTCACTACCTCTGAGGGTGCTTGCCATAGATGCAGGCGAAACGTCAGGAGAAAATGCCTCTAAAACATGGCCATATAACCCGGAAAAACCTACAACGACCCAGTGATTCCGGCCATGAAAGCCTTCGACAATATACTAAATAAATAAACCAGCGAGGCTTTGAAGCTGCAAGGCCATTCAATGCCAATCAAGGTGGCCAAAGGCAACATTCACACTTGCATCAAATGGACAAGAGTTCTTTCTCCCACCCTGGACATCATTATATATAAATGATATATAAACCCCACTTTCTTAGTTTCCAACAGACCTCACAACCTTTGAAGATGCCTGCCATAGATGTGGGTGAAACATCAGGAGAGAGTGCTTCTGAAACATGGCCAGGCAGCCTGGAAAACTCACAGCAACCCAGTGATGCCAGCCATGAAAACGTTTAACAACACATCGCACTTGCCTAGTTTGCAACAGACCTCCCAACCTCTGAGGATGCCTGCCATAGATGGAGGCGAAACATCAGGAGAGAATGCTTCTGGAACATGGCCAGGCCATGAAAACCTTCGGCAACACATCTCACTTGCCTAGTTTGCAACAGACCTCCCAACCTCTGAGGATGCCTGCCATAGATGGAGGCGAAACATCAGGAGAGAATGCTTCTGGAACATGGCTGGGCAGCCTGGAAAACTCACAACAACCCAGTGATTCTGGCCATGAAAACGCTTGACAACACATCTCACTTGCCTAGTTTCCAACAAACCTCCCAACCTCTGAGGATGCCTGCCATAGATGTGGGTGAAATGTCAGGAGAGAATGCTTCTGGAACATGGCCAGGCAGCCTGGAAAACTCACAGCAACCCAGTGATTCCGGCCATGAAAACGTTTGACAACACATCTCACTTGCCTAGTTTCCAACAGACTTCCCAACCTCTGAGGATGCCTGCCATAGATGGAGGCAAAATGTCAGGAGAGAATGCTTCTGGAACATGGCCAGGCAGCCTGGAAAACACATAATAACCCAGTGATTCCAGCTGTGAAAGCTTTCAGCAATACATGGAAATTTTTATTGGAGAGATTGGATGTCTCTTGGATGTTGGAAGCGCAAACGGTGCTTCTTGTATGCGCTGAGTGTGGCTACTTTTCAATGAGTGTGACTCCCCGCATTCGCTGTCTCTCTTTGGGTGTCCTCATCATGCCTTTCCCTTCTTTCCCACAGTTCGAAATCCGGCAGTTGCGGGCTCACTTGGCTCAGCAAGACCTGGACTTGGCCGCGGAGAGGGAGGCCGCACTGCAGGTCCCGCACATGCTCAACAAGCAGTCCAGCAACCGGTACAAGGTCGTGGCCGCGGGAGGGGACTCGGACGACGAAGCCACCGAGAACATCATGGAGCTGCGGCCAGCGCGAGGTGAGCGCCAGGCATCCTGTCCTCTCTGCTCTGCTTTTGGCTGCCGGCCTTCCGATGTCAGGGGAGATGCTGCATCCCCGATGTCGCCAAAATTTTGGGTTTGTCTTGGCGCAGTGCAGGGCCGCTCTTCCCTTCTGGCTCTATTATTATTATTATTATTATTATTATTATTATTATTATTATTATTTGAAACACAACAAGATGAGTCCACAGCAGACACTTTGTTGGCTGTTGAATTGGATCACACGTCAGACAAGTGTTATTATTATTATTATTATTATTATTATTATTATTATTATTATATACACAACAAGATAAATACACAACAAACAAGGCCACTATCATGGCTATCGTATTCAATCACGCCTCCTAAGTGTTGTTGTTATTGTTATTATTATTATTATTAGATACACAACAAGATTAATACACAACAAACAAGGCCACTATGATGGCTTTTGTATTCAATCACACTTCCCAAGTGTTGCTGTTGTTACTATTACTATTACTATTATTATTATTATTATTATTATTATTATTATTATTATTATATACACAACAAGATAAATACACAACAAACAAGGCCACTATCATGGCTTTCGTATTCAATCACACCTCCCAAGTGTTGTTGTTATTGTTATTATTATTATTATTAGATACACAACAAGATTAATACACAACAAACAAGGCCACTATCATGGCTTTTGTATTCAATCACACTTCCCAAGTGTTGTTGTTGTTGTTGTTATTATTATTATTATTATTATTATTATTATCATTAGATACACAACATGATTAATACACAACAAACAAGGCCACTATCATGGCTTTTGTATTCAATCACACTTCCCAAGTGTTGCTGTTGTTGTTATTATTATTATTATTATTATTATTATTATTATTAGATACACAACATGATTAATACACAACAAACAAGGCCACTATCATGGCTTTTGTATTCAATCACACTTCCCAAGTGTTGTTGTTGTTGTTGTTGTTGTTATTATTATTATTATTAGATACACAACATGATTAATACACAACAAACAAGGCCACTATGATGGCTTTTGTATTCAATCACACTTCCCAAATGTTGTTGTTGTTGTTATTAGATACACAACAAGATTAATACACAACAAACAAGGCCATTATGATGACTTTTGTATTCAATCACACTTCCCAAGTGTTGTTGTTGTTACTATTATTATTATTATTATTATTATTATTATTATTATTATATACACAACATGATTAATACACAGCAAACAAGGCCACTATGATGGCTTTTGTATTCAATCGCACTTCCCAAGTGTTGTTGTTGTTGTTGTTGTTGTTGTTATATACACAATATGATTAATACACAACAAACAAGGTCACAATGATGGCTTTTGTATTCAATCACACTTCCCAAGTGGTGGTGTTGTTGTTGTTATATACACAACAAGATTAATACACAACAAACAAGGCCACTATGATGGCTTTTGTATTCAATCACACTTCCCAAGTGTTGTTGTTGTTACTATTACTATTATTATTATTATTATTATTATATACACAACATGATTTATACACAGCAAACAAGGCCACTATGATGGCTTTTGTATTCAATCACACTTCCCAAGTGTTGTTGTTGTTGTTGTTGTTGTTGTTATATACACAATATGATTAATACACAACAAACAAGGTCACTATGATGGCTTTTGTATTCAATCACACTTCCCAAGTGGTGTTGTTGTTGTTGTTATATACACAACAAGATTAATACACAACAAACAAGGCCACTATGATGGCTTTTGTATTCAATCACACTTCCCAAGTGTTGTTGTTGTTGTTACTATTATTATTATTATTATTATTATTATTATTATATACGCAATATGATTAATACAAAACAAACAAGATCACTATGATGGCTTTTGTATGCAATCACACTTCCCAAGTGATGTATCAGTGAATAATATGTGCAGATCCAAGTAGGGTGGCCTTTTGCAGCCGACAGGTGATGATTTTGTCAACAGTGATTGTTTTTAAGTACAGGCCAAGGTCTTGAGGCACTGCGCCCAGTGTGCCAATCACCCCAGGGATCCCCTTGATTGCCTTGTGCCACTTCCCAAGTGATGTATCGGCGAATAATGCGTGCAGAGCCAAGTAGGGTGGCCTTTTGCAGCCGACATGTGATGATTCTGTCAACAGTGATTGTTTTTAAGTACAGGCCAAAGTCTTGAGGCACTGCACTCAGGGTGCCAATCACCCCAGGGATCCCCTTGATTGCCTTGTGCCACTTCCCAAATGATGTATCAGCGAATAATGGGTGCAGATCCAAGTAGGGTGGCCTTTTGCAGCCGACAGGTAATGATTTTGTCAACAGTGATTGTTTTTAAGTGCAGGCCAAGGACGTGAGGCACTGTGCCCAGTGTGCCGATCACCCCAGGGACCCCCTTGATTGTCTTGCGCCAGAATCTTTGCAGTTTGATCTTTATTATTATTACCGTATTATTATTATTATTATTATTATTATTATTATTATTATTATTATTAGATACACAACAAGATTAATACACAACAAACAAGGTCACTATGATGGCTTTTGTATTCGATCACATGTCGGACACTTCCCAAGTGATGTATTGGCAAATAATGCATGCAGATCCGAGTAGGGTGGCCATTTGCAGCTGACAGGTGGTGATTTTGTCAGTTCTGATTGTGTTTAAGTGCAGGCCAAGGTCTTGAGGCACTGCGCCCAGTGTGCCGATCACCCCAGGGACCCTTTTGATTGCCTTGTGCCAGAATGTTTGCAGTTCGATCTTTAAATCCTCATGTCATATCAGCTTTTCCCATTGCTTCTCCCAAGTTCTGTTGTCGGCCGGGATTGCAACATCGATGATCCATACTTTGATTATTATTGTTATTAGATGATACATAACAAGATGAGTCCACAGTAAACAAGATCACTATGGTGGCTTTTGTATTGGATCACACATCGGACTCTTCTCAAGTGTCTAGGATTGTGTGATGTATCGGCAAATAATGTGTACAGACCCGGGTAGGGAGGCCTTTTGTAGCTGACAGGTGAAGATTTTGACAGCAGCGATTGTGTTTAAGTGCAGGCCAAGGTCTTGAGGCATTGCACCCAGTGTGCCATTCACCCCTGGGACCACGTTTGCTGGCTTGTGCCAGCACCTTTGCAGTTCAATCTGCAACTACTTGTCTTGTGTCAGCTTTTCCAGTTGCTTCTTGTCAGTTCTGCTGTCACCTGGGATTGCAACATTGATGATCCATACTTGGTTTTTTAACACAATTGTGGGGTCAGGAGTATTATGCTCCAAAAATTGATCAGTCTGAATTCGGAAGTCCCAGAGGAGTTTGATGTGTTCATTTTTCCAGCTTGTGATCCCACCAGTTCTTTCTCGCAAGCAGATGGTATCCTCCCCTCAGCCCCTGTATTTCTTTGAGGACTTAGTAGGTTACTACTAGTAGTGTGTGTGTATATATGTGTGTGTGTGCACAGAGGCTGAAGTGATTGACAATGGCAGCCGCATGCTTTTTTTTTCGTTGTCAGCCAATCACATGGTTTTCCACAAAGGTGGTCTCCTCCCCTCAGCCTCTGTGTTTCTTTAAGGAGTTAGTAGGTTAGTTGTAGTAGTGTGTGTGTATATATGTGTGTGTGTGCACAGAGGCTTAAGTGATTGACAATGGCAGCCGCATGCTGTTTTTTTTCCTTGTCAGCCAATTACATGGTTTTCCACAATAATAATAATAATTTAACCAGGAATAATAATAATAATAATTATTATTATTATTATTATTATTATTATTATTATTATTCCTGGGTAAAATTAATAATAATAATTAATAACAATAATAATAATTAATACCATAATAATAATTTCTATCCATAAGGAGACCTGAGTTTCTTAAACTTTTTCAGTATATAAAAGGGGTAGCATGGAAGTGATGCTCTTCCGTCATCAACTTTGCTGGACTGACCATGTTGTCTGAATGCTCAATCACCGTCTTCCAAAGCAGTTGCTCTACTTCCAACTCAAGAATTGGAAACATAATGTTGGTGGACAGGAAAAGAGATTTAAAGATGAGTTTAAAGCTAATTTGAAAAACTGGCGTAGACACCAAGAACTGGGAAGCGCTGGCCCTTGAGCACTCTAACTAGAGGTCAGCTGTGACCAGCAGTGCTGTGGAATTGGAAAAGGCATGAATGGAGAGCGAAAGGAAGAAACGTGCCAAGAGGAAGGCGCATCAAGCCAACCCTGAACAGGACCGCCTTCCATTTGGAAGGATATGCAGGTCAAGAAGAGGGCTCCACAGTCACCTACATATCCACCGCCAAGACAACTAATTACCCTTGGAAGGCCATCATACTTGGACAACAAGCAATCGCCTAAGGAAGTGTGTGTGTGTGTATAAGGTAAAGGCAAAGGTTTCCCCCTGACATTAAGTCTAGTCATATCCGACTTTCAGACTGTGGTGCTCATCTTCATTTCAAAGCCGAAGAGCCGGTACTGCCCATAGACGCCTCCAAGGTCACGTGGCCGGCATGACTGCACAGAGGCTGAAGTAATTGACAATGGCAGCCGCATGCTTTTTTTCCTTGTCAGCCAATCACATGGTTTTCTGCAAAGGTCATCTCCTCTCAGCCCCTGTGTTTCTTTGAGGAGTTAGTAGGTTACTACTATTAGTGTGTGTATGTGTGTGTGTGCACAGAGGCTGAAGTGATTGACAATGGCAGCCGCATGCTGTTTTCTTTCCTTGTCAGCCAATCACATGGTTTTCTGCAAAGATGGTCCCCTCCCCTCAGCCTCTGGGTTTCTTTGAGGAGTTAATAGGTTAGTAGAAGTAGTGTGTGTGTATATGTGTGTGTGTGTGCACAGAGGCTGAAGTGATTGACAATGGCAGCCGCATGCTGTTTTTTTCCTTGTCAGCCAATCACATGGTTTTCCACAAAGGTGGTCTCCTCCCCTCAGCCTCTGGGTTTCTTTGAGGAGTTA